CTACAGATATTTCTCCAACCCCTAGAGCCTTAAGCATTGTTTCAAGTTTCCCCAAATCTAAAATTTAATTGTTAATTATTAACACTAATCAACAGACTTAGCTAAGTGATACAGATTTCCCACATTGTTCACTATCTACCCAGAGTACAAGTGTCAATTGTTAGTTTTTGTAGACAAAAATATAATCTTTTATCCTAGTTCTGATTTACCTGTAAAACAGTCTGTGTTTAGTGTTTTGCTTTTATATAACTTCCATTTAATGATACACAATTTTCTGACAAATTTTCTACATATATCTTTGCCACATAAATCGGAACTTACTACTTTAAATAGATTCCCTCCATTGACAGTGGAAATTGTTTTGTTGTTAACTGTTATACTCTGCTAGAGACTGAATCCAGAACCTTGCACATTCTATCAACTGAGCTGCATGCCCAGCCTAGCAGTGGAAATTTAAATCTCATCTGTTAACTCATATTCTGTTGGCTTTTCCATGGGATGCTGCAAGTTGACTCTCCAACTTGCTTCTAACATATCCTTGGAAAATTAACTCTTGCTTGCCAACAGATTAGTAAGCAACTCTCTGAAGAATATGAAAGGATTGTCAATCCTGAGAAGGCCACAGAGGACACTAAACCCGTGAAGATCAAGGAGGAACCTGTGAGTGACATCACCTTTCCTGTCAGTGAGGAACTGGAGGCTGACCTTGCTTCTGGAGACCAGTCCCTGCCCATGGGAGTCCTTGGGGCTCAGAGTGAGCGTTTCCCATCTAATCTGGAAGTGGAAGCTTCCCCACAGGCTTCAAGTAAGAGAAATCAACATACTCATTTTGATTCTAGGATATCTGCCAATCTAAGAACTTAGTGGCATTTTGGAATCAGGTGGGAGAACAAAAATAGGAGTGAGCAGAATGGAAAGTCCTAAAACAAATATAGCTTCAGTGATCTAGAGATAGCAAAATTCTTCTAATTAGTGAGCAGAGGACTAGCACAACTTTATAGGCATTCTATAAAATAATCTCCAGGGTGGGCACAGTGGTGCACATCCATAATCCCAAAGACTTAGGAGGTTGAGACAGGTTACAAGTTCAAGATCAGTCTTGGCAACTTAGCAAGACCCCAACTCAAAATTAAAAAGCGTTGGAGATGTAACTGTGGTAAAGTGCCCCTGGGTTCAATCCCCAACATCAAAAACAAAATTTTAAAAACCCATCCAGTTAGGGTATGGATGCAATGTGTGTTGTCCTGTTGACCAAGGTGGATTTAGCTGATCCTGCTGATTGGGTAGATATCTCTTCTTTAGTCTTCTGTGTTAGTCCTTCTTGATGCTTGTAATTATGAATCAGGAGGCTGCCAGATAGATGGATAAACTTGAGTTTCCTTGCTAGAATACTCCAAGAAATTGGAGATTGAAACAAGGCTACCCAGCTAGAGGCAGATGGCCTCTTCTTCCAGATAAATGCTATGATTACCTAAAGTACCATAACTTGAGTCAGTTAAATTGGAAATTAATCTAGGCATTCAGTTATTTACAAATACAGTCACTTTATCAATGCTCAACTGACTGAGATAACAAATCCTCAAATGTGGCCCCAATAGAATTAAGGCCATACTTTTGGTTGGAAGTGTCAGGAATAGCTGGGCACACTAGCACACAACTATAATCCCAGCAACTCAGGAGGCTGGGGCAGGAGGATTACAAATTTGAGGCCAGCTTCAGCAACTTAGTGAAACCTGACTCAAAATTTAAAAAAAAAGGGGGGGGGGCGCTGAGGATGTAACTCAGTAGTAGAGTGCCCTTGGGTTCAATCCCCAGTACCACAAAATAAAAACAAACATACAAGCATGAAAATATAGGGAAGAGAGCCTTTCACCATAGAAAAGAAGTAATGATCACAGAACAGCTTTGCTGGAATACATGGGGTGGGAGACAGGCAAAGACACAGGGAGCATGTCTCTTGTCAGCGGAAAGAGGAAGGGAACTGCTTTCAGCATTTTGTAGTGATCAATAAGTATTCATAGTCTTAGAGAGCATCAAAGGCACCCAAACAAAAGGAAGAGGCATAAGATAACCCCATAAAAGGAAGGAAGGACAGGGAAAGTAATGAACTGAACAAGGCCTGCCTTCGTGCCACTGAGACAAGGCAGGGGATTGTTCCACCTGTATTGTTTTACTTCCTTGGTTTGGGGAAAAATGCAAGTAGGTGAGATAAAGGTAAGGTAGAAGAATAAGGAAGATATTTTTGACATTTTGAAGCAGAGAATAACAACCACATTCTCCAGCCAAGTACACAATTAGAGTGAAAACTGAGCTCAAAGTATATTAGTGGACCCTTGGTGGGATATTCATTCTCCTTTGTTTGGTGGCTTACCACTAGGTGTGTGTTTTTTGCCTACATTTCTAGGTGCAGAGGTAAATGCCTCTCCTCTTTGGAACCTGGCTCATGTGAAAATGGAGCCCCAAGAGAGTGAAGAAGGCAATGTCTCTGGCCATGGTGTATTGGGCAGTGATGTCTTTGAGGAGCCTATGTCAGGCATGAGTGAAGCTGGAATACCTCAGAGCCCTGATGACTCAGACAGCAGCTATGGTTCCCACTCCACTGACAGCCTCATGGGGTCCTCCCCTGTTTTCAACCAGCACTGCAAGAAGAGGATGAGGAAAATATAAAAGTGAAAGAGGGACATTTCAGTCCAGTCATACAACACCCAACAGAAAACCTTGATGTAGTCTAATTTGTTTCTATAAACAGTGATTTGATTCTTAAACACAGTGGGTTTTCCTCATTTCAGAGAAACAGGATTTCACCCAAAAAAGTTGCATTTTATTTTGGTATCATGTTTTATAGTTTTCATTAACAACAAAGCCACCATTCACACATGGATCACAATGGTAATATATATCGTCTGTCCCCGACTTTTGTCTTTACTACGTAACTACATATTTCTTAGCTTCTCTGCAGCCATTTCTATTGCACAGTTGAGAAGATTCATACCACTTTGACCTACCTTGCACAGAGGAATACTGAGATGTTTATTACACTGTACTTGAATAGACTCAGGAATATATGCCAATATCAGATGTCACTTTTTCTTTTGATTCAAGTCATTGGGAATCCAGTACCAATTCCTCATAGGAAACTAAACACAGCAAAACTTATCTATCATTAATCTTTGTAAAGTGATTTTGCTGTCTATGAAGTCTTTTATAAAATCAGAGGTCTGTGGTAATGTAACAGCGTTTTTATTTATTCAAATAGCCCAATCATGTCACCTGCCTATTCTCTAGATTTATTCCATCGATTCTCATCCTTTTTGCCTTTATTTTGATATTTCTACTGACTCAAGACTTTTTTTTTTTATATTTATTTTTTAGTTGTAGTTGAACTAAATACCTTTATTTTATTTATTTTTATGTGGTGCTGAGGATCAGACCCAGGGCCTGGCACATGCTAGGCAAGCTGAGCCATAACCCCAGCTGCCACAGTCTGGCTGGGCACAATTCACGAGCCACTTATCAAGCAGAAACGAACTTTATTTTTAGAACACATGCCACACCACAGGAGCTCTTCAGGAATTCCCTCAGAGCCCAACTGCCACCACCAGCTTCCCACAAGCCTCTCAACCCCCCCCCCCAACTCCTCCTGCTCTTGAGGCTAATGGCTGGGTCGCATGGGCGGAGCCAAAAAGTCCCCCAATGAGCAGTTGCGTGGTCTGAAAGGGCGGGGAAACAGCCCAATGAGCATCAACGCAGAGGAGCCAATCAGCTGGCAGCTAGAAGTTTGCTGGGGCCGCTGTGAACCAATCATCAGCTGGCAGCTGGAAGTTTGCTGGGGCCCCTTCAGCTGTGGCTCTCAACACCCAACCCAGTATTTTCACCATTTATTTTCCAGTTGTTCCTTTCATTTTCTCCTTTGTGAATGAAGCAAACTTGGCTGAATAGGATTGACTTTGCCTATTTCCTTTGTTCTATCTGCTTGGTCATCAGTGGTCCATTGCTCTGCCAGAGTTCCAAACTTACACATTGTGCTTCTGCTAATATAGATGGGCAGCCTTGAAAAAAAAAATAATATATACCTTTCAACTTCACATCAAATCTGAACAACTTTACTGGTATTACTCATCCAACACATATGGTTGCTGTCTCAACCCACATTTATCAATGATGTAGCATTGAAATGATTAGGAATAAAAGCAAATAATTTGGTCATGGATACCAGCATGTTAAATAAACTGCTTTGGTTATCTAATGCAGAACACAAATCTTATAAAATTTAGACCACTCCTTTAAGAGACCAAAGTTAAGATACAGCTTTCATTAGTATATTAAGTGCCTTAAGTGTCCCAGGCAGAGAATAAGATGTGAATGCCAAGAAAATGTGGTTATATTTTAACTGTTAAATAATTTATAAGTTATTGCTAATTATAAGTCAGCACACTCAACTAAAGCCTTCCTGTTCTAGTCTTAACTTCATTTCCCCTTGTTTATTAATCACATTGCCATCTGGGTACTTGATTCATTCATTTAGCAAACATTTATTGAGCACCTGTTATATGTTGATCTTATGCAAGGGATACAAAGATGATTAAGACACTCCTTGCCTTTATAGACTGACAGCCTAGAGGAAACAGGTTAGTTTTTAAGGAAGAAAATGTGATCAAAGGCACTACAGAGAAAAATCAAGACTTTTATTATTAATGGTTTCCCCTGAAAGAACCAGTCAAATTTTTAGACCAATGGTTCCTGCTAAGTACAGAATATTGAAATTAGTAGTTAATGGTAAAATAACTTTTGTTGGTTTAGAATGTTTAAATTAGGCTATTTTGATAAAGTAAATCATATGAAGATTGGTACCTGATTCACCCAGCCTGAAATTATCATAGGCTGTTTGAATTGGAGAGGTGTTTCTCAAACTCATGTACATCAGAATCACTTGGAGGGCTTATTAACAAGTTGCTGGGCCCCACTCCCAGAGCTTCAAATTCAGTAGGTTTTGAGATGCCTTTAACAATTTCCCAAGTGATTCTGATGCTTGTGGTCCAGAGACTGTGCTCTGAGAACCAATGAGTCAGCAGCCAAACCCTTATAATGGTTGTTATGCATGGAATGTGCACCTGACTAAAGTCTATAGCCTTTCAATAAATCACCAAGGATACTCTGCATTAACTTCAAAGTCAATACAAACAGGGCCTGACTCTGTACCTGGTTTCCACTTATGCATATGTGGGAAGCTTCAGTAAATATCACCCCCTTAACAGGCAGGTTTAGACATGTGAATTTAAGCCTCAATTACAAGGGAATCTATTTGTTACTATATAATTTTCTAATTTGAAATCATGACAGGCAGGCAGGGTTAGAATAAAGTTATAATTAGAAACTCTTTATCCAAGTTACCATTTAAGAGAATTCTTATTCAGAAATCTTACGTTCTGCCCACTTTCTTCAACAAACTTGGTGTCCTCTAATGAGCTACTAGTGTGAGACATATTTCATAACACTGACTTGCCAAGGAGACTCYACTGCTACCCTGGACAAGCTTATGTGTCCCCCTCTCCCTTTCTATTAAAAGAACAACTCATGGTACTTCCCCAGCACCATGTCCTCAGTTATAAGCTGAGGACATGGTGCTGGGGAAGTAGAGGCTAAGATCTAAAGTGGTTGCCAGGATAAGTTCTCTCTGTATTMTATCACCAGCAGAAGTATATAAGTTCAAATGATAAAACTTAGGCTTGAAGGCATGTCAGCTTCCAAAAGCAGTCAGTATATCGTTCCTTGCATAAATGTAAGTGAAAGGCCAAGGCAGACTTGACATATCTACCTGCCAGCTCCAAGAATCATCTCCCTGACTTCTTCTGAGTCATAAGATTCTCTCAAAAGAAAAATTCTGCTAYTCTGAAGAAAATTGTTCTTCATCCTAGTCCTGAATCAGCAATAAGAATAGTTTCTTCATATGGAGTCCCAGAATCTGGGACTTCTAGAATCAACTGAAATTTCCTAAAATCTCCTATTTGTTGTTTCTCTTCCAGTACTGTGCCATTGATTCTTGCATAAAATTCTGAAATGCTGGCTCTTCATGACTTTCCTCTGTAACTGCAAGGGAAAAAGAAGGATGATTCTTTTAAAACTCTGAGTAGATTAGTGGATCAGAGCTCCTGTCATCTACCCATTAAAAACAATACTTCATTTCTAAGAAACTAAGGTGCTCGCTTCTCACAATAAGAAAATGTCTCCCAGAAGCATGCTCTACTTACCATGTTGCCAAAATGTATAGCTTCAGTATAAGGAGGGAGGGGAAAAGAGCTCCCTTATATATTAGTGGCTAAATGAAGTCTCACTTCATAGGTATTTCATGTCCACATAACACTATTTGTAAAATGGTGTTTTGTTTTGTTTGGTTGGTTGATTTTGTTTTTCTTTTTGATACTAAGGATTGAATCCACTTTGCCACTGAGCTACACCTGCAATCCTTTTTATTTTTTATTTTTGAGAGAGGGTTAAGTTGCTGAGGATCTCGCTGAATTGCTGAGGCTAACGTCAAACTTGGGATCCTTCTGCTTCAGCCTCCTGAATTGTTGAGATTACCAATGTTCACTACCACACCTAGTGGCAAAATATTTATAGCAGCTGCACCTCATAACAGCTCCAGTTGGCCCAAATGGATAAACAAATGGTAGTAAATTCAAATAATGGAATATTTCTCAGCAAAATAAATAAATAAATAAACAAACATAGCCGGATGCAGTGGCACATGCCTATAATCCCAGCAGCGCAGGAGGACTGAGAGTTCAAAGCTCAGCAACTTGGTGAGGCACTCAGCAAATCAGTGAACCCTATGTCAAAATAAAATACAAAATAGGGCTGGGGATGAGGCTCAATGGTTAAGCACCCCGGGTTCAATTCCTGGTATCAAAAAAATATATAAAATACAGAACTTACTGCTGTACTGATATATGCAGCATTATGAAAAGATCACACATTTGTTATGCTGAGTGGAAAAAATTTATTGCAAAAGACTGACTATTGTGATTCCATTTATGGAATGTTCTGGAAAAGAAAAGTATAGGAACAGAAATTAGCCAGTGGTTGCCAGGAACTAGGTGTTCAGGAAGGAGACCAAATATAAGGGGCCATGAGAAGACTTTTGGGAGAGAGAAAAGTGCTCTGTATCTTAATTATCATAGTAATGACAAATGTTTGCTAAAACTCATCAAACTGTATACTTAAAGGGATTAGTTTTACTGGTTGTAAGTTCCATCTCAATAAATCTGATTTAATAAAGCAGTGTTCATGTTAGCTCCCAGTTTGAGAGTAAAAAGGTTTGCTCTTTGTCGGAGCTAGGACCTACATCCTGGAGCTGTTTAACAAATTATATCCTGCTAACAATCCTAAAAACTATACCAAGTGGAACTGGGCTTCCAGACCCATTCTGTGCTCACTGTTAAGAGTACTTTTGACTGTTCAGGTCTCTGCTAAGACTTCCTTATGTATTCTTAAAACGTGGGGCTGGGTATATAGTACAGTGGGTGCTTAGTTTTCGGTGGACACAACATCTTTGTTTGTATGTGGTGCTGAGGATCGAACCCGGGTCGCATGCATGCCAGGCGAGCGCGACAGTGGGTGCTTAGAATGTACAAAGTCCTGGTTTCCACCACAAACAAAAGAAACTAATAGCAACCTAAAGGAATCCTGAATTTGTTTATTTTTAAAATATTTATTTTTTAGTTTTAGGTGGACACAATACCTTTTTTAAAAATATTTTTTTTAGTTGTAGATGGACATAATACCTTTATTTTATTTTTATGTGGTACTGAGGATTGAACCCAGTGCCTCCCACCTGCAAGGCAAGCACTCTACCACTGAGCTACAACCCCAGCCCTCTTTATTTTAATTTTATGTGGTGCTAAGGAAAGAACCCAGTGCCTCATGCATGCTAGGCGAACACTGTACCACTGAGCCACAATCCTAGCCAAAATCCTGAATTCTTCAAACTGAATTAGGACATAAGGATAAGAAAACACAACACAAATAAAAGGCATGAAGTCAGCTCTATCTTAGCCATTCAGTAGGAATGGCTAAAATTTCCTACACTTAATATAGGAAACTTTGCTAGTACTGCATCCGTTACTGTCTCCTCTTTCCCTCTTTACTAGCAACCTCTCTTAACAATGAGAAACTCCTGAGCAAACAATGCAGCTATTCTTTTTCATGAGCCACCTCAGCCACTTCTTACCTCTGTGGTCAATGTCATCAGTATCACTGTCAGCTTCCTCATCCTCTTCATCCAAGGTTCCTCGAGTCAGGATTAAATCAGAGGGGTCCAACACAGGAGATCCGCTCTCTAGAGTGAAAACACCTACTGATAAGTATATGTGTCTCTTCAAAAAGGTGATTCTTGGGGCTGGAGTTGTGGCTCAGCGGTAGAGCGCTCACCTAGCATGTGTGAGGTCCTGGGTTCGATCCTCAGTACCACGTAAAAATAAAAATTATTAAATAATAATAATAATAAAAATTTAAAAAAAGAAAGGTGATTCTGAATCAGTAACACACACACACACACACACACACACACACACACACACACACATATATATATTTTTTTTTTGGTACCAGGGATTGAATCCAGGGGCACTTAACCACTAAGCCACATCTCCAGCCCTTTAAATATTTTATTAAATATTTTAACTTAGTGAGGCTGGCTCTGAACTCACCTTCTGAGCTACTGGGATTACAGGCATGCACCACCATGCCCAGTCAGTAACTGATTATAATGATAAGATCAAAGTGTACACGATAAACATAAATGCAGGATTATGCTCCTCCTAAATGTACTGTTAACCACACTTAACATTTCTATAGTAGTTTAATTCACCAAGTACTTTCATGAGTGTAAGGAGTTCCATTTTTTTTAGTTCAAGAAAACCCAAGACACTTTTCCTAGGAGCAGCAGTGTTTTTTATCACTAGCTCACAGCTTGGATGAGGGTAATGATTTTTCCTATGAAGGCTAAAGACATGTGAGCAGATCTAGTGCTGATAACTCAAGGTGAAAGTATGGAGTGCTAAGGAAGTCTCCTGGTGGAATATAAGTTCAGAGAGGGTCTGAAGAAAATACAGGGCAGAATGATACAGAGAAGAGAAGCTAGCTATTATTCAAGAAAGGCAGGGAAAATAAACAATGGAAAATCAAATATACTGATAGAGGTAAAATTTCCTACTCAGAGAAACTAGTAAAGGGCTGAGCCCCAATAATCAGAAGAAAGTCTAGTTAATTAAGTATGTTGACAGGGATTCAGCCTGTGGGGTGAATCATTCTCTCTTCAGGAGCCTATGAGGCTTTTAAGAGCTCAACTAGGGAATAAGGGTGGCTGAAGACAGCAATATTGAGGGACACAAATCTCAAGGGGCCTATGGTCCTGAAAAGAAGATAAGATGGGCTGACAAAAAATGCTCATTTTGGGGTTGGGGATGTGGCTCAGTAGCAGAGTGCTTGCCTAGCATGTGTGAGGCACTGGGGTTTGATTCTCAGCACCCATAAAAATAAATAAATAAAATAAAGGTCCATCAACATCTAAAACATTTTTTAAAAAATTGCTCATTTTGTGCCCAACTGAGAGTTATCCAATTATACTGTGACTTTCCTCAAATGACCCACTGAAACTCTCTTAATCTTGAACAGCTTAGCTGAATATAGCAGATCCTATGTAGCCACAAATGTATCACTTGCCATTTCATGTACTCAGGAGTGATTCTGAAGGCCCCTAACACACAGAAATTCGTGATTCTGAGGTGTTTGCAAAGGATGGCACAGGTGAGTTCATGTTAACTGGTAAGCCCAATTTCCAGCTTTGATTTTTTTTCTTCCAGACATCAACCAATACTTTCACAAACAGAAACTGCACTGCTTTAACAAATATATACCAGAGGGGGGAAAAAATGCCAGTATTGCTGGTGCAAAGAAAAAATGAAAGTACATCCAACTTATTACCGAAATAAATGTTAAATGGAGCATAATGTTAAAAAAAAAAAATCAACCCAAGTTGATCCTACTGATCCTATACACATTATACCACACTCACTTAGAGGGTGGTCCAGCAGTTTTTGTTGGTAGGTGGCTGAGCACCAACCTAGAAACCCCCAGAGAGTCAATGATAAAACTAAAATTAACTCAAACAGCAAAAAACTCAATAAAAGTAGCAGGACAAAAAGACCAATATTCAGAAATCAAAAGCCTTCTTACATACAAACATACACCAAATAGAGGACAAAATGGTTCAGAAAATCCTATTTTCAATGCAACAAAGAAGACAAAACCTTTGAAATGAATTTAACAAGAAATATCCAACACATACTTGAGGAAACCACTAAAACATTCTTGAAAGACACAAATAGATCTGTCAAATATGAAAACATTTCTTGTTCTTAGGTAGGTCTAGTCTCAAGATCATATAAATGTAAGTTCTTGCTGAAATAATGAATATAACACAATACTAATACAAAAAAAAAACTTTTTTTTAAGGAGCTAGGCAAGTTTCCATAAGCTAAAGTGCCCATGGAAAAATAAATAAATAAATAATAAATAGCTAGGGAAACACATGGGGAACTTGCTACATGGTTAAAACAATATGGTAGAGGTATATAAGTAAATAAACTACTGGAAAAAATATAGAGTTCAGAAACAGCCAAGATCACATTGCACTTCAGCATATTATACAAGTAGCATCTCAAATCACAGGCCAAAAAAAAGGTAGATTTTTAAATCAATAGTGCAGATATACCTGCTGATGAAAAAACACAGAGAGGTGTGCTTCATACCATCACCAGTAAGAAATCAAATTTAGAAAATGAAACATCTAAATACTACCATAAACATGGATAAATTTCCTTTAGTGTAGACTAAGTAAAGACTTCCTAACTAGGACTTAATTCAGAAACAATAAAGAAAAATCTGACTCCATCCAATCAAAACAAAAACTGTTGCATAATAAAATAATACCATGAAAAAAATTATTACATGATAAAATAATACCATGAAAAAAGTCAAAAGATAATTGTTAAAGAGAGTCAAAGTACTTGCAACATGTCACAGATGACAGTAATATTAAAACTAATCCTTGTATGTGTGAGGCACTGGGTTCGATTCTCAGCACCATATATCAATAAATAAAATAAAGGTCCATTGACAACTAAAAAATATTAAAAAAAAAAACAACTAATGGGTGAACATTTGAAAATTAAGAGTACTTACATAGTCTCAAAGCATTACCCCAAAAATTATTATTACAAAGGAAAAAAATAATTGGGCTGGGGATRTGGCTCAAGTGATAGAGCACTTGCCTGGCATGCGCCAGGCTCTGGGTTCGATCTTCAGCACTACATAAAAATAAAATAAAGATTTGTGACCACCGAAAACTAAAAAATGAAAATTAAAAAAAATTCTCTCTCTTTAAAAAAAAAAAAAGATGTTGTGTCCACCGAAAACTAAAAAAAAAAAAAAAAAATTCTCTCTCTTAAAAAAAAAAAAGGAAAAAATAATAGCTTAGTGATGAGAAAACCTGGTAGACTCTACTTCCTACAATAACAGGTGACTCCTCACATGATATATTAAAAAACACAACTTCCATGGATTGAAAATGAGCAAACTATATGCATTTATGATTATATCAAAATAAAACCAATTATTAAGTATAACTACAATGCACTAATAAAAACATTTAAAACCCTACAGCTTCACTACTATAAGGTTCTGCCATTAATTAACCATCTTAATCATATCATTAAGAAATACCAGATAAACCCAAATTGAAGGACATTCTATAAGACAACAGTCCTATATACTTAAATACTATCACTATCAGGGCTGAGGATGTAGCTCAGCCATAGAGTGCTTGCCTAGTGTGGATCAGGCCCTATATTTGATACTTTATGTTGGAAAAAAAAAGTCAATGTCATGAAATACAAGAAAGAATAGGGGGCTGGAGATGTGGCTCAGCGGTAGCGCGCTCGCCTGGCATGTGCGCGGCCCGGGTTCGATCCTCAGCACCACATACAAACAAAGATGTGTCTGCCGATAACTAAAAAAAATAAAATATTAAAAAAAAAAAAAGAAAGAAAGAATAAGGAATTGTTCTAGATTAAAGAAGATTAAGGCACATGAGAATTAACTGCAATGCACATATAGGATTTTCTCCTGCTTGAAAGAGAAAATGGCTTCATCTAAATAAGGTCTATATATGAAATAATAGTATTGTGTCAATATTAATCTCCTAATGTTTTTATTACTGTGCTGATGTTATATGAAATAGTATCCTTGTTTTTAGGAAACAGATACTATTTAAAGTAAGAGCATCACGTCTTTAAGAGTAAGTTAAATGATTCAGGAAAAGGTTTTATATATATATATATAAATATATATATAAATTTATATATATTTATATACATATAAATATTATATATATATATAATGCTATATGTATACACACACAGAAAAAATAATAAAAAGTTATGTAGTAGAACGTTACATTTTGGGAATCTGAAGAATTGGGGCAATTACTTATTATTCACGCGATTTTTCTATAAATCTAAAATTACATCAAGAAAAACTGGAGGGGCTAGGGCTCAGTGGTAGAGTACTTGTCTAGCATGTGTGTAGCATTGGGTTCAAATCTCAGCACCACATATAAATAAATAAATAAAGGTCCATCAATAACTAATAAAAATATTTTTTAAAAAAATTGGAAAAACTTGAAAAAGAATTGGGAAAAGTGGTTAAAATTGTAGGGAAAAAAAAGTCMCAGCAAACATCAGTTATCATGCCAAAGAAAAGCAAAATCAAGAAATAACAACTTCCTAAAGGAGAAACTCTTAAGTGCTATAAGTGGTAGAGATCTAGAATAGCTTCTAATACAATTTTCAGGTATTTGCCTTTCCAAGCCATTTGCTATCTCCATACTTCCATCATCCTTTTCACCTTCTCCCTCTCACATAGGCATATTCCTGCAGAATAAAAAAAATTAGTCCACTCTCTTTTTTTCCTTTTACTTCTGATACCAAGAGCTCTTCCGATACCTTTGGCAGTCCCTGTGTCCAAGGCTACAGAGCCCATATCTTTCCGAAGGCGGTCCAGTTGTTCTTTCTGCTGTTCACTCTGTGCATTGGCCTATATACATAGGGGAAAATGTCATCACATTAAAAGAGGATCCCTGCTGGAGTGGAAGTTAAATGACAAAGTGTATGCTTAATGTACAAGTTCAATCCCTAGCACCAAAAAATGAAATTAAAAAGGAGCTGTTATAGTCAGCTTTCTTATTGCTGTGACCAAAATACCTGACAAGAACAATTTTGTTTCTTTTCTTTTCTTTTCTTTTTTTTTTTTTTGACAAGAACAATTTTAAGGAGGAAAAGTTTATTTTGAGGTATACAGTTTCAGAGGTCTTAGTCCACAGAAGGCCAACTCCATTCTTTGGGCTCAAGGTGAGGCAGAACTCCAAGGTGGAAGAGTGTGATATAGGAAAGTTACTTAGGCCATTACAACATGGAAGCAGAGAGCTCCACTCAACAAGGACAAAATATATACCCCCAAGGCATGCCCTCAGTGACCCACCCTCTCCAGCCACATCCTTCCTGCCTACAGTTAATCCCTATCAGCAAATCAATGCACTGATTATGTTAAAACTTTCCTAACCCAATCATTTCACCTCTAAACTTTCTTGCATTGTCTCACACTTTTTCAGAACACCTAATCTAAACCACAACAGGAGCCAAATTAGATGCCAGACTTCTAAGTGAGGACAGAAAATCATACAATTCTAGAAGCAAATAGGGATGGCTGACATAGGGGCAGAAACACTGAGTAGTGTGAGCCCAGAGGATAGCATAAATTCAGAGTAGATTATTCTTCAAGCTGGATTAGAGAATTCAGAAATTAAGATACAAAAACATATCCAAAGAACCTCCTAGTAGACCTAGCAAGAAGGACCCCAGGTTCTCTTAGGACAGGATATTTGGCCATTTAGAAGAGTTGTGAGCCACCTTTCTTTTTAAAGGCAAAATTCTACAAGTAGCCTTTAAATTTATGTTGGAGTAGGGATGGAGGTGGGGCATAAGAAGAGCTTATTAGTAGTGCAACAGGAAAAATCTCATTTTAAAAAATTCCAATACAAAGAAAAATAATTAAGGGAACTTTCTGCAAACAAACACAAATTTACCAACTTAAGTATTTAAAGCCTGATGCAGTGGCCTACACCTATAGTCCTAGCTACATGAGAAAATTGCTTGAGCCCAGGAGTTTGAGGCAGGAAGATTGAAAGTTCAAAGCCAGCTGGGCAACATGGTGAAGCCCTGTCTCAAACAAAACCAATATAACCAAAAAAGACTAACAAGGATTAAAAGATACACTGAAATTTTATTAGTCAATTATACCTCAATAAAGTTGGAAAAATAAGTTAAATAAGAGACACAGGATAGCACCACCATCCGCCCCCCCAAAAAAAGTGGCATTGATGTCAGGAGGTTTAAAGTTTTTTGGGTTTTTTTCTGTGTTTTTTAAAAAGATGCTGCCCAGGCTAGCCTAGACTACTGAGCTTGAGCAATCCTCCTGCCTCAGCCTCCCCAATAGCTGGGACTACAGGTATGTACCAAGGCACTCAGATTCAGTTGTTTTTTTTTTTTTTTAATGGCCCTAAAATACACTTTTTTTTTCAGTACCAGGGATTAAATCCAGGGGTGCTTAACCACTGAGCCCCATTTTTTTTAATATTTATTTTTTTTAGTTGTAATTAGACACAATACCTTCATTTTATTTATTCATGTTTATGTGGTGCTAAGGTTTATGTGCTTCACAGATGCTAGAGAGCACTCTACCGCTGAGCCACAATCTCAGCCCCCCATTTTTTTTTTAATTTTTTTAGTTGTAGTTGGACACAATACCTTTATTTTATTTATTTATTTTTATGTGGTGCTGAGGATCAAACCCAGTGCCTCGCACATGCTAGGCTAGTGCTCTCTATCCCTGAGCCACAACCCCAGCCCCCCATTTTTTATTTTTTGAGACAGGGCCTCACTAAGCTGGCTTTGAACTTTCAATTTTCCTGCCTCAGCCTCCCAAGCTTGGGGATTATAGGCATGTGCAACAGCATCTTTTCTTACCAACGATTTCTTTAGACGTTCATATTCAGGACGATACTCCCTGGAAAGAAAAACACTCTAAATTTCTTTGTTTAATAATCCAACCTGCCTGCCCCAACCCCTATAACTTGTATTTTCCTATGACTCTGTCATAAGATCTGACATCACTGAACATCCAATGTACCATGTCTTAAGTCATTGAGTCTATCCCTTGAAATTTAAAGCCAAGGTAACTGCCCCAAGCTGAAAACTGAGGAAAGAAATGAACTCCTGACTGCTGGGCTGCAAAGCTTAGCACTGAGAAGACCAGGACTGAGGAGTTTAACATTTATTTGAGATAAATGTGTGAGATGTGTAAAAGACACAGGCCTGTTTTGTTCGTGAAGTTCAATGCATAACAAAGTGATGTACCTGAATCACAACATGAAAGGATACAGAAAAGAGTCTATCCTGAGGCTTTGGTAACATACACACCCTTGTCTGATGATTGAAATGAAAATATGTCTGAAACTGAAAATGTGGTTATGTGGTTGTCAGTATATTACAATATATAAAGCCAAAGGAGAATGCTAACAAGCAGCCTATCAGGCCATAGCCTTATGTGTACAGGTGCTCTGACCACTCCCTTTCTTTCAGGTAAATGAAATTCAACTATTAACAATGACAATAATTATAACAACCATTTATTAGGAAATGTGCTTAGTATGTGTCAAAAATTGTGCTAAGGATTTACACATATTTTCTCAAATAAATCTCACAGGGACTTTAGTGCCAAACACTGCCCAATGCCTGACCTCATAAATAATGTTTTCTATGAAGACAGCACTGACCATTTATAAACTAGCTATGGATGCTTTTGTCCTACCATGGCAGAAGTGTTTAATTGCCCACAAAGCCTAAATTATTTATTAACTGACTCTTTACAGAAAAAGACTGGCGACCCCTGCCTCTTAATCAGCCAATACAATGAAGATATTATACCTCTATTTTTCAAAGAGGTTAATGGAGACTTGTTACTCCTAGGTATGGTCAGGTCCAGTACACATAAGCAAGGCAAACATACTGCATATATGATGAAAAGCTTTACCTGGCAAAACTTGCTATCATCAGATTTGTGGGTTACTTAAAAGATGTCATCATTAGAACCTTCCTTTGTTCTCACCTTTCATATTCTTCTGCAGCACTGGTGATTTGCACAAAGAGTTCATCGAAGCCAGTGCCCACAACAGCAGAGACACCCACCACCTGCCAAAAAGCATCATAAAAACCACTGAGGAAACTACTGTATACTTTTAAATGGTTTTGCCCTATTTCATTCAAATATCATAAAATTGTCATAACAAGGACCAGGACTTATGATTTATTCCCTAACAAACCAAGCAATCAACATACTCTGCAACCAACACCCACTTTAGCTTACATAAATCTTATCCTTGCTATACCCTCCAAAGTCTCTCATTTTGATCTGTCCTCACAAGAATCAGGCTAAACTTTCCAAGGCATCTACTACAATATTTTAATTCTGTATAAAGTCTTCTATCCTAAACCGGACCCAAAACTCTCTGAAGGTAGGGTTCTTATTTATCTTGTAAACCTCCACAGTTTTTTGTGTCTTGTTTTGTTGTGGATCGAACCCAGAGCCTCATGAATCCATATGCTAGGCAAGAATTCTACTATAGAATAAGTAGAATTACTGATAATTACTTACTACTAAGCTACTTGCCCAGCCTACAACTTCCAGTTTTCAATGAACAATGCTTTAAAAGTTACTTTTCAGAAAGTAATGAACTTCTTTTCTAAGCTAGGTTCAAAGACAGTTCTATAGGTTTAGAGATAATCTGAAGAGAATGTCAGTAAGATCCAAGGGAAAAAATTTACCCTGAGTGAGCTGTAAAACTCATCTAACACCAGGCTCATTGAACGGGTCAGGTTACTGACATATGTAGTTTCTTGATTCAAGGCATCTTGGAAAGCCTCAAAATCCTGCATCCATTCCACTGCAAAGCTGTGATCAATGATGTCAGTCTATACCAGAAAGAAGTCAAATTAGCAACCAGAGATGAGGTTATATACTAGATAATGGCAAAATCATTTCTTCAATCAAGTGGTGACCACAAGAGCATATCATTCATGCATTTTCTTTCTTTGCCTTCCCCATTTCCTCTTCTAGTAAAACAAGCTGCTACGTTCAATAGATTGGTTGTGTCTCCCTTATTTACACAGCTCTGAGGGGCTACTCTATCCCAAAATCACTCTGGATAAGAGCCAATATCATAAACATTCATTCCATTTGACTGAATCTATTTCCTAGAAGTGCCTATGACCCAGTTTCAGTGAAACCTGAATCTGTCCTCCAGGACCTAAATAATCCTTCTTCTCACCCATCTAAACCTAAAATTCACAAGGTTCTAATGAAAGACATGTTGAAATCAAAATATGGAAGATTCACTTACTTTGTTCATAACCACAATGAAAGGCAGCTTGGTTTTGTACAAGATGCTGAAAATCAAACATTGAGACAGAATGAATTAAAGCACGTAAATTCTTGCTTGCCTGGTGTCAGTCTGTTGGGACTACGTAAAGAGAAAGAGAATGGATGCAGACGTAAAAACAAGGCATTCACATAGTCTCTTGCAGAGGTAAACAACCAGCAATGTCAACAACACACATACACGCACGAACGAAGGCACTCACTCTCAGAGTAATAATGCATTGCTGCTGATCCTGGTTTTAATTGTTTACCAGATAATTGTCTTTTTTGTTTCCAGGGGAGCAAATGTGCATTTATTAATACCTTATTATGGTCCAGGCCCTATGCTTACTTTTATATGTATTGTCTCCTTTAATTCCAATGCCATGAAATATATACAATTTTTAATTGTTATTCATATCTCAAAGCTGAGGGAGAAACTTAAAAATATTGTATTACACATTAAAAATTTTTAAATATTTTTACCAGTTTTATTGAGGCATAACTGACAATTAAAATTATATATATTTAAGGTGTACAAATAATAAAATACATGGAAAGAGCAGATCTTTATTATTTATTTACTTGTTTGTTTGTTTATTTTTGCAGTGCTGGGGATTGAACCCAGGGACTTCCCAGTGCTCTACCACTGAGTTACATTCCCAGTCCCTGTGCTGTTCTTATCTACATATACATTGTGAACAGATTATCATAATTAGGCTAATCAAATGGTTGTATTTCAAACAATTAGTATGAAAATGAAATAATGCTGTCAATTCTAAGATTTCTAGCATTCAACAAGAATGGACATTTCTACTCAATATCAGATGGACAAATGTTGGTAGATGGCTTCTGTGTAGTTCCAAAATGAATTCTCTTAAGTTTTCATAACAGTCTGCCTTGCTCCTCAGCCTTAATGCACTGACATAGTCTAGTGAGCAAATTCTTCCTCTCCTAATGGTACAACATTTGCAGCAAACCTGTGCACTCTGAATTATAGAAAAACCTTTTCATTTATAGTATCTCCTAATGCTACCATTTCCCTGTACCTATTATAAAACACAAGAGCATAATTCAGACCAAAAGGCTCATATCTATTCAGAGTTGGATTTCATTCAACTGGGAGCAACTACCACAAAGTTTGGAACAACTACCATGAGTTTCAGATACAGCACCTATTTCTATAACAATTAAGGGAGGAAGATAAGAAGGAGCTGAGAGAGAATGCCAATAGCACATGTACCTTTTTTCTTCTCTGACCTGGCCCCTATTCACAGCCACTCAACTGAGCAGAAAAATCTAAATAAGCACAAGTTCAGGAGTAAACAACCAGGACTTAAAAACAAAAAAGCAGAAGGGAAGAGGAGGCCGCATACTTTGATGGAACACTATGCCCACCAATAATCAGTTACCTGCAGGCATACAGCATATTCGACATAAACGTCACTGGGTTAGTACTTCTCGATGTGTCCATTACATAGATGACAACTGTTGGGAATGAGGATGCCTAAAGCCACAAAATAATTAAAGGCTTGGTCAAAGAGTTCATGACCTATTCCCATATATTTTTTTTCTTATGGCATTACTAGAGATAGAACCCAGGGGTGCTCTACCACTGAGCTACATCCCCACTTTATTTTTTGAGACAGGGTCTCACTAAGTTGCCCACGCTTGCAATCCTCTCATCTTGTCTTCCTGTCTCATCTTCCCAAGTGGCTGGGAATAGGCATGGGAGCTCTTTCTCTACCTATCTCAGTGAGGGAGAACCACTTTAGCGTTCAGAGCTTCTGCAATTTCCTCAAGTACAATCCCAGGCAATTAAACAGATGCTAAGTCAGTCTAGCCCTCTAGCTACAAGACCCAGAATACTCACCAGGGCCTCAGTGATGATTGTCCCAGAAGCTGACCAGGTGAATACCTCAATCTGCCCAGGTGTGTCAATCAAGACATATCTACGCCAAGAAAGACCATGAATAAAGTGTTGTATTTGCACATTGCTAAAAGATATTCCATCACATAAAATAAAAATTAAAAGCCAATGATATCTGGTGATCCAAGACTGGAATAACCTTTGTACACTACCAAGTTTAATTTCCTGCCACAGTCCTCAACTAATAAGGCATACCACACTCCTCCAGACTTTGTTCCATGTCTAATATTCATGCTACATGAACAGGAGCAAAAGACTATGAAGTGCAACAAAGGATCACAGGGGAAATTGATAATTACAGAAACACATCACTTAATAATGAGAGACTCAAACCAGAAGGCAAATCTCTTGGGAAACCATCTGGTTGCTTGGGAATGGGAGACTGTTGGGGAGAGAGAGTGAGGATGCAGAAACAGAAATGCACAATATAGGGCATGAGTATGATGAGGGCTGCATAATTCTGTGAGTACTAAAAGTCACTGCATTATACACTTGAAAATGGATGAATTAGGTAATGTGTGAATTGATTCCAATAAAGCTATTTTTTTGTTTGTTTGTTTGTGGTGCTGAGATTGAACCCAAGGACTTACGCACATGAGACAAGCACTCTACCAACTGAGCTATATCCCCAGCCCTTTGTTTTATTTTGTTGGCATCAGGGATGATTGAACACAGGGCTGCTTAGCCACTGAGTCATATCCCCAGCCCTATTTACTTGTAACAGGCAGGAATTTATTGAAGGGATAGGAAAAGGGAAAGGGAACACTCTTAAGGGAGTGAGTCCTCTTAGAGAAGAGAGGGACAGTGTGCCTCTCTTGCATTCCAAGATCTTTTTATTTTTCCCCTCTTATAATGACTTCATCTTAAGTTAGATTCAGAGCTTGATGGTAGCCCAGATCCTCTCAAAAGCCTAGAAATATGTCAACTAAAGGATAATAAATAGGTGTTCAACTGAAATCACTTACTTAGATGTGTTCTGGGCCTTCTCAATAAATTTCATCACCTAAAAGGAAGACATACCAATTACAACAGGAACTGATTTCAACACAAAATCATATGCCTTTCCAGGGTGACACACCTCATAGGAAACATCCCTATTGAATCTGTTCTCATTCTTAGGACACCAACTAATAAACTCATTGAGCCAAAGAAACATAGCCACATCACCAGCACTACAACATTCTGGGCACAACTCAAGGAACCTAAGAGGCTTAATTATAGACATGTCACGGTCAAGTTATACATCTTGGCACTTTGGTCCAAAAAAAAAAAAACCAGTTTTTATTTTAAAGAAAGTTTTGCTGTGTTACCCAGGCTAGCCCTCAAACTCTTAGGCTCAAGCAATTCTCCTGCCACAGCTTCCTGAGTATCTGAGACCAATAGTAGGTGGCTCTGGTCAAATGTCAATGGCCTATCTCATAAGAGTAAAAAACCTAATGATTATTAAAAAACTCATCTGTCACAAGTAAAAAGCATCATTATCTGCCATTCCATGCCTGGTAGCCCATTCTACTCCCCAGACCTCATCTCATCTTCAGGGTAATACAACAAGCCAATAAGATCAGGAAAAGAACCCAGGTGTCAGATCTATTTTGCTGGCTATCACAAATATTAAATGAGAACTGTCTCACAATACTGGTCATTCTCTCCTAGTCTAATTCTCTGTCTACCAAAACGCTAACTTATTTTCTATTTTCCTGTTCAGGTTTGCTGCTCTGTTCAGGTTTGCTGAAATGTGATCAAGATAAGGCATGTAAGAGTCAGGATTTTTTTTTTATACGGCAATGTCTATAAATGTAAAGACAGACATACCTGATCAAATCTGGTAGCAAAGAGATTGAGAGAGGTCACTATGCCACCGTTGGGCCCAAGGCCATATCTAGACACTCAGTTGAGGATTTCAATTGCACAGATTAGATTATGAAGTTCATAACCAGAGCATTATTTATCTACGCAGCATTATATTAGTGTTCCATTACTTAAAGCTGGCAAAGTAATCCTTGATGATCATATAACCTTTGTCTAACAGGCAAACATTTGCTATCAAGGTTTTCCCATTCATTTATCACTTTAGGAATGGCCAGGAAAGATGAAGAAAGCAAAGTGATCCAAATGTAATAAACATATCTATCAGGCAGTGACAGCCTACTGGCTTTGGCCATTAAAACCATCTCCATAACACTCCTTGCACTGATCCTCACTAATCAAGCAACTAATCAAGATGATTAGAATTAATCTTCCTACCTAGACTTACTTATAAGGAGAGTGCACATTTCACACAGCAAGGTCCTAAGAATTAATTCCACTAAACATACTCATTTTGAGCCTTCCAGTCTGAAGAGATAGTAATCAATGAATGTATCTCTCCTCCAAGGCAAAACCACCTTGTGGGACCCAAGGAGGTGCTAGCTAGCCCCTCATTTTTCTCTGTTCTAATTACAATAGTCTGTGGTCTTCGGAGATGGAAAGAAAACCGAAATCATAAGACTAAATTTTATTTCTAATCAACTACAATACTTCTCCTTTATTCATCTTCCATCCTCCTAGGGATTAAGAGTATAACTCAATGGTAGAGTGCTTGCCTAGCACATACAAGGTCCTGGGTTTGACTGCAAGCGCTGCAACAAACAAACAGCAATAACAAAAACCCTAAAAATCATCTTCCTAATAAAATTACTTTAGCTGGGTGCAGTAGCATGCCTGTAATCCCAGTGGTTTAGGAGGCTAAGGCAGGAGGATTGCAGATTCAAAACCAGCATCAGCAATTTAATGAGGCCCTAAGCAACTTAGTGAGACCCTGTCTCTAAAGAAAATATAAAAAGTGGCTGGGGCTGGGGCTCAGCAGTAGAGCATTCATGTAGCATGTGCAAGGCCCTGGGGTTGATCCTCAGCACTACATAAAAAACTAAAAAAATAAAATAAAATAAAGGTATTGTGCCCAACTACAACTAAAAAATAAATATTAAAGTGGGGGGGGGTGCGCTGGGAATGTGGCTCAGTAGTTAAGTGCTCCTGGATTCAAAAAGAAAGGAAGGAAAGAAGGGAGGGAGGGAGGGACGAAGAAAGGAAATAGATGACTTTGAAACAATCAATGCTTTTACTTATATATTTCAACAAGAAAATGTAAAAAAAAAAAAAAAAAAAACTCTCAAAACCATAAAACACGTAGCAAGGAGTCAGGAATGGGTCAACACCATAGTAGCCACAGAAAAGGATACTGTTTCATGACTTCTTTATACTTCACAGTGTCACGAATATCTGAATGGGGGGAAGAAAAGAATTAATTGAAACTTAATACAAAAAAAACAGTGAATGTGGTCTCTCAAGTCATTTCTGAAAAAAAAAATTTCTCTCTTGGAATCTGTGTAACTTTTCACATATTTTCTAAGTTTTGAAGATAAGATCATCGAATTGTGATTAGAAAAGAAGACCATAAGAAGATAAAATAGAAGGACAAAAGTTGCCCTATTAGCACCTTCCCTACCAGCAAGAAATTAAAACTAACCTTTTGAGTTTTTCTTCCACATTCTTTTTTTCTAATTTCTCTACTTCTATCCTAGTTTCCTTCCTTACAAAAGACAACTGCCAAGTAACCCATGAAAAACATTACCTAGGAGTTCTCAAGTTACGGTAGAGATGGACTTAAACAAGGTGAAAAGTTATACGATTTAAATATCAGTAGTCCTATGCCCAGAAAAAGAGAAGCTAAAGTCAAGAAAAAAACATTTGTGGGCTGGGGATGTGGCTCAAGTGGTAGCGCGCTCGCCTGGCGTTCGTGCGGCCCAGGTTCGATCCTCAGCACCACATACCAACAGGGATGTTGTGTCCGCCGAGAACTAAAAAATAAATATTAAAAATTCTCTCTCTCTCTTTCTCTCCTCTCTCACTCTCTCTTTAAAAAAAAAAAAAAAGAAAAAGAAAAAAACATTTGTAACTAATTAATTGTCTCCTGGTGACAAAAACAATACAGACAAGATTTTTAAAAATGAACCCACTAATAACTACCTAAACCTAACCACCAGCCTATTGTTTTCCCCCATCAACTGTTAAAATTCTACCCTTTAAGTGAGAAGATAAGAAATGTTTTCCCCAACTCTTCTCCAAATCATATCTGCTTTTTAATATAAAGTTTTCCTCTATATGTTATGTTTGGGGTCAAGAAGCTTAATAGGATTAAGAAGTGACAGTGATACCTTGGTTGCCTCACTGCTCCCTCACATGTTGAAGTAAAATATTAGAGAAGCACACCAAGGCAAGCATATAATGAAAGGTTTATTTAAAAAGTGGTAATACAGACTTTTCCCAAGAGGGAGAAGAGGGCCATAGCTGGTATACTGGTATCCCACTTCCCAAGAAGCCAGGCAGTTCTGCCTTTTTTATATGTCCTAGACTTCCTTTGTTCTCCTGCTCTGTTTCCCTTATCTCTGTCTTTCCAAAGTAAGTGACTAGGCCCAAGAGATGCTCTAGGTGGGATGACCAAAAGGTGAGAAGCAGATGGAACAGCCCAGGACACATTAATTTACAAATTTATAACTCCCAGTAGGGAAGGGCAATTCCTGGGACAGGTTACTTTAGCAACAGGTTGGAGCAGGGGTAGGTTATCTAGATAGGGTGGAGGAAGGGCTCTGAAGGAATTAACATTTCAATTCCTCTGATCTCAGATCTGACCCTCTCCTACCAGCCTGTCAAATTCTGGCTTCATCAGAAGGGAGAGCATCAGATTTATCACACAATAATAGCTTAAAAATCAGAACTACTGGATCTTATCAAGAATCATCACACTGGACCACTCACCCATTCTCTTTTTTTTTTCTTTTTCTTTTTCTATTTTTTAGTACTGGGCTTGAATCCAGGGGTGTTCCACACTAAGCTACTTACCCAGCCCTTTTTATTTTTTATTTTGAGAAAGGTTATTGCTAAGTTGCCCAGGCTGGCCTCAAATCTGTGATCCTCCTGCATCAGCCTCCTGAGTCACAGAGTTCAAAGGTGTGCACAACCACATCCAACATCTATTCTTAATCTTTTTTATAGTCACAAACTCCTCTTAAAAATCTGATGAATATTGGGAGCCTCTCCTCAGAACAATGCAGAGATGCTGAAAGGGTAAAGTTTCTAAGCTGCAAAGCCTGAATTAAAATGTAAAAGACTAGGTATTGTTAAGTTCCTCTGCTACACCTAGAACCTGAAATTCCTGAGATAGTTAAGACAATGCCCTACTGGCCATTAAGCCTAGGGCCCAGTGCAGTTTGTCACAGGGCCGGAACCAATCATAACCAATCAGTTTGAATGTGTACCCCCCCCCCTTAGGAGTGACCAATCACCCCTGCCCGACCTGTTCCCACCAATGAATGTGCTAATCATGTCTCAGAGTTGTTGTTCAATTTTCCCACGCCTCATGATGATTTGTTCTGATGTATGCAAAGCCCCCCCCTCCCCAAAAAGTGTACTTAAGCTCTGCTTGACCTCTGCTCTGGGCTGCTCTCCCTTCCTGAGTGAGCCTTG